GATTCTCGCACATCCTGTGGTTGATAATATATATATATATATATATATAACTCTGTGCAATTAAAAGAAAAAGAAAAAATAATAAAAAAATGAACTATTATATATTTTCCCTATATTTAAAATTAAACAAGACTTTAAAACTTATTCTATAATTAAAATAAAAATAGAATAAATTAATTAAGAATAGATGAATAGGATGGTTAACCACCAAAAACTTGGCTATATCATGTATGTATTTTGGAAAAACACTACTTTTGGTCCTTATATTTTGTTTGAGTTTTGGTAAAAGTTTTTGAACTTTTTTTAATATTATAAATCTCTACATTTTCATTCATCTACAATGTTGGTTGGTATATTTTCATAAAGTAGTTAATATGGCACAAATAACGTTAATAATACTAATATGTCAATTTAAGTTATTAATTTTGTACTCATATTTTAAACTGATGCTGCCATGGAATTTTTAATAAGAAAAAAATATAAAAAAGCGTACATAGAATTTATGCATTTTGTTGATCATTTAAAAAGTTCAGGTCAACTTTTTTATTTCATCTAACTTAAGTTTCTTTTTAATTTTTGCTTATTAAATAATTTCATATTAGCATTATTTTATGTTGGCATTGACATGTCAACCTTATTGACATCATTTATGTTATAACATTCTTAATTTTAAATTCAGATTAATTAATCTTAAAAAGATTAGTAAAGAGAACTTTTGAGATGTGTGGCCAGAGAGGCCTAACGGGCATGTTTGATCTCAATTTTAGTACCGAGCACAGGTCAGAAGGAGAATCGAGTCACCCGAGTATAAAAGAGAAAGAATTTTTGAAAGGAGTGGTTCTGTGCCACGCCCTGCGGCGTGAGGTTGGTCTACCGTGGTGCATGTGTGCTAACATGCTTGGAAGAAGCTTTATGTGTCATACACTGTGGTACATTGTGCGTTTGCTGTGGCACATGGCCAGAATTTTACAATATTAAGTCACGAATCTGAAGTGAAAATGAAGAGAAAACAAAAGAGAATGAAAGAGTGGTGAAAAGGCTGTGATAGGGCTTAAAGAAACTGATTGTTGGGAGTAATTTGGAGCTCATAAACACCTAAGGTAAGCTTTCTAACTTAAATCTTCCTCTCTTTTTCCATTTTTTTGATGGTAGAGGTTAGGGTTTGATTTCTAATGGTGATTTTCGATCCCTAGAGATTATGAGTCTGAAACTCATTGACTTAAATAGAGTGAATAGGGGTAGATTGAGCTAAGTAAACTTGATATTTATGAATTTATGATGATTGGTGGTTGGAGAACATTAAATGTCCAAAATTCCATAAATATTGATGGTTGGGAATAATGTGGCTTTATTAATACCCATTTAAGAGCTCAATATTATTAATGAGAGTTAAAGGAAGCTAAGAAGCCTTATGGGTACTTCTACATGAGCTTAGAGCAAATTTTGAGTGTTAAGAAATGATGAAATGTTAATGAAAAATAGCCCAAATGGATATTGATGTTTTACATGGTAAATGCTTGTGATGTAACTACCATTTGCACCATTTAAGCTTCTTGAAAGCTTCGAGAGTGAATTGTTGAGGGGTGAGACCTTTGACCTCTTAAAGGTTTGAGGTAACTAAGAAAATTTTATCTTATGCTTGTGTGTGTCAATTAGTTTATTGATTTATAAATTATTATTGAAATTTATAAATTAGGGAAAATGCAAGTGTAGCTTAAATTGTGAAGAAATCCACTAGATTAAATTTGTAAGTTTTATGCATTATGATGCTAAGTTTTCCTTGAGAACAATAGTGGTGGATATTTGTATTAATGTTATTGGGAGTGCAATGATTTTTACAATTTGAGAAGTTCAATGATTTTAAATGTGTGAGGTACAATGATTGTGATTTGGGAGTTCAATGACTTGTTAGATTTTGAAGTTCCATGAAATGTATGTGAGAAGTTCAATGATTGTGTAATGTGATGTTTTATGAATTGTATATGTGTGAGTTAGGGCATGAATGTCTATTGCATGATTTTGAGAGGCAGGAATTCACCTAGGAAGCGGAATAGATGAAAAATTCACGTGGTAAGGCCCCATCCGTGTAGTAGATTGCCTAGTTTAATTCTATATTTATTGTCCCACTGGTTCAATAAGGGACTCAAACCTAACTAGTTATTCATCGGTTCAATGAGGAAGTTAGTATAGGGTATATGACATCCCATAGTGTGAGAAATGGGAGAAACCGTAATTCATAAGTGAGTTGGGTATGCTTTGGCCGGGTAATCTCCTTACAAGTGTTTAGGTTAGGGAAGTCAAAGAATATAGACTATCCCATTGAGTTATAGCCCACGGTTTTGTGTCAGATGAATAAGGAGGGTATAAAGAAGGTGTGATCATACATATAATAAGAAAAGGCACTTGTTGTCTATGTTGAGTTCATAATAATGGCATTTTGAGTTGAGTATTATTTTCTACCTTTATGCTTGTCAACAAGTTGCTTGATCAACTCTATCTCTATGAAAAGTGCTAAAAGCGATATTTTCCTAGTAGTTGCTATTATGTGAGTTAAACTATAGGTATTAAGTTTTCAAATATCTCACATGGTCTAGAGTATTAATCTTAATTGTCATTTACATTTAAACTAATTGTTATGCATTATCATGAGTTAATCGGATCTTGATTACTGAGTAGTTGTACTCACCCTATTACCTTCAATATTTCAGAAAATAGCTCAAAAAGTGTGGATAGAGGAAAACAACTCGAGACTTAGGATCACGATCCTTTTATAGTAGGCCTCTTTAATTTGGATAATTCATGTGTATAACAATTTCATTGTCAATTAGGATTTCCTTTTTGTTACTTACTTGCATTATGTAAATGTAAATTGTAATGGTATTTTGGGCCTTAGGGAGAGAGTTGATCATATATTATGATGATAGGGCCAAAATACTAATGCAAGTGAGGGGAGTGGATATTATGTGATGATTTGGAAATCTTGATGCAAATTGTAGTAAACTCCCCCTTCCCATGATTTTGAATTAAGGGGTTGAATAGTGAAAATTTAATCTGGACATGTTTCCTGTGTTTTGGTACTTTGCACGAGTTAATTTTATTGAGTTGGATGTGATCATTTAGTGTTTGTAGCCAATGGTCATTAATTTCGGGATAGGACATTTGAATTTGTGAAAGTTAAGGTAAATGAGTAAGTTTTAAAAAGGGTGTCCAATCCTTGTTTTAAAAATAATTTGAGCTTGAGATTTGGGTTTTAATAGTGAGAGAAAAGGAGGAGGATATTACATATATCATGTTAATGTCTTTTAAAAATGTAGGGATTAATGTCACAGATAGAGAAAAATATTAAACTTAAAATATTAAAAATAAAAGATATGAACTTATATTAAAATTTAAGTAAAGTGCAACAACAAAAAGTAGTGTTTACCCATATAATTTTTAGAGAAGGTCAATATAATGTATTAACAATAAAATGATTACAAAATATTGGAGCGAAATGATACAAGCGCCACCACATAAGAAATTGGAGCGAAATTACTTGGCTTTTTGACGTACACGAAACTCGACTCCACCGTGCGTGCGTGAAACAGAGTCAGTGGCGCCCGCACCACCTTTAACCGTGTTTCCACTTCTCTCTCTTCTCTCACTTGCTCGTTTTTTAATCTTCTTTTATTTGACTGCGACCCCAAATCCGCGTTCTTTCCCTTCTCATCACATTATTTATTATTATTTTCATCATTAATAAGGCCGCTTAGTTATGGGCAGTGATGAGAATGAAATAAATTAAAAAATAAAGATAATCTCATAATAAAGAAAGATAAAAAACTATTAAAATGTGAAGGAGAGATAAACAAATCATATTTATAAGGATACGTGTAATTTAATTTAATTTATCCATACAATTTGTTGAGAATGTGATGATATTTGATTTGATCATAATTATCATTGGAGATGAAAATTTATCTTACTTTTATATTTTAATATTTTTTATTCTATTACTTGATATCTTGAAAAATTTGAGTATCATTATCTACCACTCAAACTAATCTAAATCTCTATTATGTAAAATCATTATTATTAATGACGATCACTATTTAATGGCATTGCATATATCAATACTCAAATTTGAGATCTTTAATAAGTTAATTCAATCCTCTCCATTACGGGATAGTAAATTATTCTCAACTTAGTAATCAGATCAGTCTTCATTTATTAATTATTAAAGGCTAACATATATATTTAATTCTTTATCTTATCCAAAATTTCATTTTGATTCTTTAATTTTATAAAATATTTTTTAATTATTTAACACTAACACTATTAGTTCCATCACAAAAACTTTATACATTAAAATTTTAAATATTAAAAAAATATTCTCAACTATTTATATCTTAAATTTATTTTTTAAAATAATAATAATAATTAATTTAAAAAATAATCATTTAAAATTAAAATTCTTAAAATTAGAAGACTAAAAAATATTTTTATAAATTAAAAGATTAAATTATAATTTTATATAAAATTAAAAAAAATAAAACTTTAAATTTTTATATTTTATTTGAGTTATGTTACATGTCTCTTTATTTTTTATTGTTTTACATTTTTATATAATACTTTTTTAATATGTTAAATTCTTATATTTTTAATTGTTTTTAGTGTTTTAAATTTTTAAAAATTTATAATAAAATTTAAGCAAATTACAACTTTACAAGCCAGTTGTGTCTTTTCAAAATTATAACAGATTAAAAGTAATTATTAAATTTCTGTCCGTATCGGCGTGTCCCCACTTGAGCCACTTTTCAGTTTTCACCTCTCTCGCTTTCTCTCTCTCCGTTTCAGAAGACAGCAGGAAACTGCACAGCACCACCGAGTCTGAGAATCCAAATCTGCGCGTTAAGTAAACGCTCTGGTCTCCCCCGTGTCGCCTTTCTTATCTATGCCACGCGGATCGCACACTCCCTGATACAGATAGATAGATAGATATATACCCACACGCTATTTTTTGTTTTTCTCATTCACCACTGCCTTCCCATTCCGCTCTTCCCTATTTTGGCCTTCCTTCCTTCTCCACCGCATACCACCATCGTTTCACTCTGCGTGTTTGATTCCCCAAAGTTCGCCTTCATGGGTCTCGCTCTTTCCCGGGATTTGGTTTCTAGATTCTTGCTTCCCTTCCTTTCCTCTAGGAAACTTTCTGTTGATCTCTTCCCCAGGCAGTTAGAAAACATGATGTGCTTGGTCTCCCGTACCGGCAGGCATTTGCAGCGTTACGACAAAGGCTGTCGCCAAGTCGTCGGGTGCGTTCTTCTTCTTCTTCTTCTTCTTCTGGGTTTTCGGATTCCTGTCCTTCAAATCCCTAACTTCAAATTTTTGAATTTTCTTTTTAAATTTGGATTTTGCTGTTAATCTGACTTGTTCCATGCGGTTTTGAAACTGTGCAGATGCATTCCATACAGATACAGGGAAGCAAATGTTGAGGGAACCCGTAAACAGGAAATCGAGGTTCTCGTGATTAGTGCTCAAAACGGCCATGGAATGCAGTTCCCAAAGGTATTATTGTTTCTCCTCAAGTCGTTGAGCTCATCTTTTCCATGTTACTTCGTGCAAGCATTTGAGTCCTGACATATCTGTGTATTGTTCTGCTTCATCAGGGAGGTTGGGAGATTGACGAATCCATGGAACAAGCTGCCTTAAGGGAGACTTTAGAGGAAGCAGGGGTTGTTGGCAAGGTCGAAGTAAGTATCTGTATCTGTAGACACTTTCTGGATTCAGATTCTTAGCAATTAGCCAATCTTGGTTTCTTACCTTTTATGTCTCGGATGTTTTTGCAGAGTAAATTGGGTAAATGGAATTATAAAAGCAAACGCCAAGCTACTGTACATGAAGGATATATGTTCCCTTTGCTTGTCAAGCAGCAGCTTGAGGATTGGCCAGAGAAGAACATCCGAAAGCGAAGATGGGTAAGTACTCGTATGACTTGCCTCCATTCATTATTCCAATTGCAAAGATAATTTCACACAAATCTTTAATGATTGCAAATTAGGTGGTTGTTCTAAAGTTTCATTGATCTGTATGATGCAGATGTCTGTGGCTGAAGCAAAAGAAGTTTGCCCACATGCTTGGATGAAGGAAGCTTTAGATATGTTGGTCACTAGACAATCTCAAGTCAAGAAGAAATAGAGTGGAATGTCGAGTTAGATGTACATTGTGGGCATTCTCTCATGTTTATGTAGTGTCCAAGCGACACAAGCACGGGGATATGACATATCAGCACAGAAAATTTCAAAGTCAGGAAGAGGAATAATAGTTGCTGGAGTTCATGGTTACTTCCTGGTCTTCAATTTCCTATGGGTGCTACTGAAATTGCAGCCATGGAATGCAAGTTTGTGGGGTGAAGTTGAAGAGATCTTGCAACGGAAATCAGCTGTAGATATACAAATTCAATTCATTCTTTCTTTCGTTCTTTGTATTCTTTCAATCTGATTCTTTATGTACAATAATATCTGGTATCAATGATAATTCTATGGCCACTTTGTCTACTGTTATGCTTGCTTCTGTTCTTCCCAGCAATTCTGATGGAGACTGTCTGATAAACATAGTCAATTAATTGTTTGGAGGCAAGAAATCTAATAATAGCCCGATAATTCTTCTAACAAGAATGAAAGAAATGACGTGAGAAGTCAGAAAATCGATAAGTTTCTACATGATAAGGACCGTAAGTTAAAAAGGGAAAGAGAGAAGATACTATCATTGATGGTTTCTCTAAAACCATAGACAATATAGATACCTACCGACCTTGAGGAAAACCAGACGAGTACGTCTGATTTTTGCTCAAAGGGAAATGTGAGGTAAACATGCTTTGCAAAGGCATAGTTTAGTTGGGGGAAAAGATTGCCGAGTGAGCAGTACAAAGATGATAAGGTTGCATTATTGCTCCATTCTGATTGGATTTCTCAAAGGGTTGAAAGAGACGTGTGGTGCCATAGCTGTTGCAATCAATCATGATAAGCTGCTTTCAACAGGCCCAGAGACTTGTTGGCAAGAACATGAGTAGTTAATCGGTAAGAATATGATAACTCATGTCCCGAGTATTCTTGAGTTTTTTGTCTCGTTGCGGATATCAGAGCTTTATTGTTGAACAATATTTACGTAAGTGCTATTGGAACTCGCCAAGTAAATTCATAGAATCAAACTTCTTTTTCTGAAAAAAAAATACCTTTAAACTATGTGCAAAACAACACATACAGAGGTGAGCAAAGGACAAGGGATAGATTTAACAATTTGGGTGGGCGCGTGTGGTGTGGAAAATAAATAAGAGAAGTCATTGGTGAAAAGTGCGACTCAAAATCAAAAAGACTACTAAAGTGAGAAGATAATCTTGCTTTTATCATTCACCACTTTCACATAGTAAGATGATATTTGATCAAAGATTTTTAAGCTACCTAACTAATCATCAGCGCATCAGACCCCAACATAGGCACAATAGTTTGATTCCCTTGACATTTTCACACACGATTATTGTATTGTCTAAAAAATTTTCTCCGTGGAATCCAAATAAATCCATATCTGCAGCTAATATAAGGCCACGTCAAGAATCTCTAAAAACCTCAAGTTTTAAAGCAAAAAACTCTCAGTGATGGCTCCACCCAATGAAAAATGTCTTCTTGTGTCCTGTTCTTTAACTCGTGTAGACAAAAAAGTCAATAATAATTGACAGCATCAGTACATGTAAGATATTGAGATCCCTCGGATTAAGAAAATGATGTTGAATGAAGATGCTTATGTACATATATTGCATAAATAAAATATAATTCAACTCAATATTCTAAATACAATTTAACTAAGAGGATCCCAATCCTCTTATCCCAACACTGCAAAAGAAAGTTTAATTTCATCATTTGTTGGACTTCCTTTTAAACCCTGAAGATAGATAGCATTTTTCTTAATTTAATTTTTTGGTTGAATTTTATTTTGAATTTTGATGAAAAAAATTGCATCATAATTGGAATGTTGTTAAAGTAATCCATATACATTTTATATTTTCATTATAAGATTTTTAATAAAAATATAGAAAATTCATTATGCAATTTTGAAATTGTTCATAAATATCATATCCTATTGGAATTAAAATATTTAATAATAAAAATGTAAGCATAATTAAATTTAAATAAAGTGGAGTCCATGCATTCCACATGATATTTTAACAAAGTGAAAAAAATTAGCCATATTATTCATGAATCTTCATACTTTTTATATTTTATATTGATATGGTTTTAAATTCAACAATATATAAGCCATGTATATTTTTTGGAGTTTGAGAGATGAATTTATTATTTATAACTTTTTTATATCTTATATTAACAACATTAATATTGATGTATTGATATCGAAGGTTTTATATGGCCTCGAAAAGTAAGCACCAGGAATCCTTTTTTTTTTTATTTCCCTTTTTTGATCATAAGTACTCTACTCTACCCAATTATATTACAATTACAAATTACAAATATAATTTGATTTTCATATCCATGCAATGTACGGTATATTAACTCTCAATTATAATATAAAAATAGGCCCGGCTCCGGTGACATTAGAATAAGAATTTATACTTTAAAATGATGATTTAAAATACTTATTTTGGATTTTAAAAATATTATAATTTTTATTTTAGATAATGAATATATAACATTACAAAGTCAAACTTATTTTTTAAAAATTACGAAAAGAAGATTTTTAGGGTCAGCCGTAAGCCTTTTGATAAATATTGGTTTTAAGAAATAGCTAATTTAAGATGAAAGGCTTAAGGAGCATGAGTCTACAAGAGTCAAGTCCACCTATTTTTTTGATTATGTATATTAGAAGTTATTTCAATTAACAACTTATTTTTCATGATATAGTTCTCTTTTATATAGTGAAAGAATAAATGATTTATTTTATTATACAACTTATAATTAACTTTTAGTGTTGAAAATAAGCATCTAATTATTTTTGTAGAATTTATTACTACGTATAAATTAAAATTCTAAAAATGAAAAAAGTTCATTGCATTGCATGCCAACCATTTTAGAATTTGTGTAATTTTTATTTGAATTTTGTTTCTTGTTTCACACCTATTTTTTTATTATAGCTTTCGTATTTACCAACCATTTTGGGGGATCTCTAAAATTGAATCCATTAATTTTCATGAAGTATTTCTTTTTTGTATAAAAATAAAAAAGAAAAATTAAGTTGTGATGTATATACTCCTCCGTCTTAATTTGTAAAACACGTTTAGAGATAATTTAGGATACCAAAATATAAAATGCTTTAAGGTTTCATTGGTTATATTTATTTAACATTACCCTTCCCTCTTTGTTATAGTTCATTCTCTATTTATGTTTCACAAATAAAGCTATATTAAATTAAGAATATTTTTGAAATTTTTATTTTTGCTTTAAAATAATAAGATTATAAAGTATATTTAATAAAATTTATTAGTATGCATATTTTGTCAAAAAAATATCTTATAAATTACTCCCCTTGGATCATATTACATGACATTGATAATTACTTTATAGTTATAAAAAAAAGTTAGTTAAAACCCTAATCTTTATATTATTTTTTTACATTTTTTCAATCATGCCTTTACTAAATACTTTATATAAGTATCTTGATAAAGAAAATTAAAATACATATTTTTAAAAATTTTAATATATAAAGTGGGAATATAGTTAAAATATAATTGTAAAATTTATCAACTTCTTGTATTTTAAATCAAGTTAGACTTTTAGAAGATATCATATATTATAATTTAAAGAAAATATTTTTTAATATTGATTTCATATTTATCTATCACTCATTTTCCCTGTGAGTCCCGTACTCAGTACTCACTTTTTCCTATTATAAAATTGTTATAATCTTTTATTTTTTTATTTACTATAAAATAATTAAAAATTAGTATTAAAAAAAACGGAGATGTTGGATGGTTATTCTACATGTAGATAATTTGGTTTCTGGGATCCAAAAGCCCAACTGTCAGCTCTTAATGGGCCGTTGGTCCAACAAATTTCACAAAAACAGTTGGCCGATCTTCAAATTTTGAATACGCCGTTGATGTTCGTGAAGTGGCTGTACAGCTGTACGATCTCAGAAACAAAAAAGAGTACCATTCCATTGCCGTTGGGCATTGCCAGAACGAAAACGATGGGAAGGTGTAGAGCAAAGAGTGACTACGAGGCTCTCAGAAATGCACGCTTGTTAGAGAATCAGGTCTGCATTTCTTCTCTTCTGCGAGCAAGATCATTATCTTTTTAAGCTTCTTTCTCATGGAATTGGGTAAATTCAGGCTCGGTTAGCTTCTCTTGGTCTTCACAAAACAATCTCTGAACTTCGAGACGCAACAGCATCTGCTAAACCGAAACCTAAAAGAGCCTGGAATAAAAGGGTTTATGTTGTTACTCCCTTGCGTCGCTCCCAGAGAGTCAACAGAACTGACCTCAACGGAAACAGCAGCAACCTTCCACCCCGACGATCTCAGCGTTTGAGAGGAAGTATAACCGACCCTTCGTCTCCAAAAGAAGGTTTCAGACTAACATTTGATTTTTCTATTGGTCTATCTGTGAACCTAGAAACAATAGGAACATTGAAGTTCTAAGGGCGTCTTTTTCTTTGTTGATGTACTGTGATTTTTTCTCTGTTGTTTGCAACAGAGAAGGTAGATGTATCTGAAGAGGAGGGAGAGTGTGTTCCATTTGGATCAGAAGAGAAGAGGCCGGCGAATGCACCGTTGATTAAACTAAAGGGTGCAGAACTTCAACTCTCTGCTGAGTCTTCGGCTGTGCGCTGCAATAGCAAGGGTAGAGGCAGTGTATACAACCCTGTGTTTGGCATATGCTGCCATTTCTGCAGGTGTTTTCTAACCTTCATTACATTAATAAGTAGACCATGACAATATGACATTCTTAATAGTTATCATGTCAAGCCAACTGATTAATAACATTGTAGGTTTCTGCATCTGTTTTTGGTTGCTTTTTTCCAAAGTTGGCATGTATGTCATGGAGTTTTCTTAAGCAGCCATTGCACACACATGATCTATGGATCATAATCACAACTGGCGAGATTCAATGATAAAATGTATAAATTTACTGTGGTGAAATGGAATGGATCAATTAAGTGGTGAATCTAGCTCCTGCTATGCTATCGAGCCATTCTAGTTTGAATTGGAATGAGGACACTGCAATGCAATGCACGCAGGCAAAAGAAATTATGTGGTGAAGAAGACTGCAAAAGATGTGGCAATTTTGATGTGAACGAGCCGTGCCTAGGTTAGATTCAGAATTGAGACTTCTTTCGCGTTCTACCTTGACTCCTCATTTCTTTAACACTTACCTTCCATATTTTAAGCAGGAAAGACTGACTGTTCAGTATGTCACTCTAGTACTGGTGTTTTCTGCAGAGCTTGCCTCAAGGTTCGATATGGTGAAGGTAAGTACCAAGTGGCTTAGCTAAATACAAGTTTAACAAATAGATGAGGGAAACAAATTAAGAATTCATCGAAATAATAATACTGGTGTCTGATTTATCAGATGGCCCCAAGTTATGTGAAAATTCATCTTACCGTTTTCCACTTATGTAGCTATGACAGCTATCGAGATTTTGTTTGATGCTAAGAGTAGTGCTAGTTTTCCCCGTAAACTGTAGAAGTAAAATATCTTATATATTAAACATCGTGTTCAGATTGTGGATCTTAGCTTATGAACTCTGTTACGCTTTGAAAGAATTGGACTCTTCAAAAATGATTCCATATTGTGGATCTGAAACTGTCTTTTATGTTTTATTGTACAATGTTAGAAATGGAGGAGGTGAGAGAGAATAAACAATGGATGTGCCCTCATTGCATAGAAGCCAAAGGAATAAACCCTTACTGGATATGCAACAGGTACAGATTTTAAGCTTTAGCAGCCACAAGTAGTTATTTTTAAGTTGGAGGATGACAGTATCGATGCGTTCTTGTTTTCCTTGATTTTGGCTTATAGTTCACTGTGCCTGAAGAAGCGTAATATCGCTCCAACTGGAATTGCAATATTCAGAGGTTAGTTCTTCTGTTTTTGATTTTATGCTTGTATAACTGTTCTATTACTTATGTAATTTTGTCTTTGCATTGATTTTGGCATTTCCCCCCTCTTGGATTGGTTGAAATATAGCTCGCCAAATGGGATATGAATCAGTGGCGCATTTTCTAATGGACGAACTCAAAAGAAGAGATGCAAAAAAAGCACAAAACCTGAAGGATATAAGTTTGTAGTGTAAGATCAAGGTTTGATATGGATTTTAATTAACAAATAATTCCTACTGATATTGACTTTTTATATAGTTTTCCAGAAGCACCCCCCTTCTTTTGATCTTAACCATTCAACTGGGTTGGCTCACTAAATCTAATTAGCCTTCGTTCTTAGGTCGGGCCAAATCCTTAAAAAGGCAGGAAAAGTTTTTATTAAAAAAAAACGAGAGAAAGGAGTCAGAGAGAGTCACTAGACATGGAATAGTGTTTTTTGTCATGTTAAGCAGGGAGCATGGCATTTGGCAGTCAGGCCTAGCCCGTTGAGGTTGAAGGTGATTTCTTGATTATACTTAAGCTAATCCAAACCCTACTTACCTACTGTGGGGGACCATTGCTCTAGATTTAAGGATAAGTTAATTTAACTCTTTCAATTAGTTGAACCAAGCACTTCTCAAATTTTATTAATTATATTACTTGTATTGAATTATCATAATCACATAATGTCATTTTGCAAGAAAGTCTAATATACATATCAATAGCTTAGAATCATTAATATTAATGACTATTAACATCTATATGTTTGTAAAAATTATAACAAATCATAACCAATTTTTTAACAGTGCATTTGGATTAATGAGAATTTAAATTTGGGTTTAAATCAAATCTCTCATTTAAAAATATAAAAAGCATATAAATTTAGATTTGATTCAATCCTAAATTTATGTTTTATAATAATTTTTTTATAATTTTAAATTCTCCCTATAATTTAATTATTTAAAATTCCAAAATATTATTCTTTGAGGGGCTAGGCCTTTTGGAGGCCATGGGAAATGGGGTTTTTGGGCCCCATCCAATTTAAAAAAATATCTCAAAAACTCACTCATGCACATATTAATACTTTAAAAATATAATTTTTATGTATTCTTCATATTTATTTTAAAACTAATATAATAAATAAATGATTTCACTTTAATTGTTTTTATTATTTAAAAATATTATATCATTATAAAGTATTATTATCTATAATTCTCTCTATACCCTCCCTTTATCCTTGGTCATAAGCGTTTGCTAAGGTTAGAACATGCTTCCAGATTATTTACTAACAAAATTTTTATATTCCCAATAGGAGATTTGAATTTTGGACTCTAATATACATGTTAATAGAATAAAATCATCAATATTAATTATTATTATTATTACTATTACTATTATTATTATTATTAACATTTACATTTGTTTGTAAAAATTATAACAAGCCATAGCTGGTTTGTTTAAGTTTTTTTAATTAAATAATTATTTTGAAAAATTAATATTAGTTTTTGAAAATGATAAGAATATGATAAATAAGAAATAATGTTTTTAAAATATAAGAATACATGGAGATAGCATAAAATGTAAGAATAAGTAAATAATAAAATATTTTTTTATAAATATAAAGATGAAAAATTAATCATTTGATCTTTAAAATTTTGATTCATTTGTAATTTAATTTTTAAAATTTGACTCGTTATAATTTAGTCTTTATATTTTGATTTAGTTATAATTTAGTCGCTCAACTTTAACTTTTGAAATTCAATTTTTCAATTTTTATAGTTTTAACTATTTAAACATTAGTTTTTATATTTAAAAAAATAAAATTATAAAGATTTAGATTATGTTAAAATTTAGAACTAATATTTTAAATTATTAAACTCTTTTAATATTTATAAAGATTATAAATATTAAAATTTTAAGATAGTATCCCTAAAATTACTCATGAAATTTTTATGTAAGTGCCATTAATATTTTAAAATTTTTTGACACAATATTAGCTTGATAGAATTTAAAATGATGCCATATCATCCTGATTTGATGGAAGCAAAATACTGCTAAATCACTTAGCTATGCCGCGTCACTTTTTTTACTTAAAATAAAATTGTTCTTGAGTGGAAAAAGTATGTAAAAGAAAATAATAATAATAATAATAATCATAATAAATGGTGGTAGGTACCGGATTCGGTTTTGGAGGATGAATATTGCGGTGCTCAGCGACAATTAACAGTGCTTTTTGCAGTGTTAATGTTTTTCTTTCTCAAATCACAAAATTATTATTATAATAATAAATAAATATTATAAAATTATTATTTTAATATTTAATAAATAAATAAATTTAACTTGTTAAAATTTGACTTAAATAATTCAGATAATAATTGTAATTTAAACAGTTCAAAACTATACTAAAAAAATTACAAAAAAATGATTTGAAAAGTTTAAAATAGGGGTTAAGTCTAGCAAAATGAACTAGTTTCTTACTATGTAATAAAATATTATTTAAATTCTTGTTAAAAAAATACTTATATTTAATACTCAATCATACCTTAAATGATATTACCTCTTATAGATGGACGACTATGCAAAATTAATAAAATAAAAATATTTTATAAAATATATTTAGTTATAGTTTTAATTTTTTTACAGCAATTTTTAAGTATTCAGGCTAAAATTTATATGTAAATTGTTCAGGTCAAATTTTAACAAGTTAAATTTATTTATGTATTAAATATTAAAATAATAATTTTATAGTATTTATTTATTATTACAATAATAATTTTGTGATTTAAAAAAAAATAACATTGCAAATGAAATGTTAATCTGAGCTGAGCACTACAGTACTCATCTTGGGATCAGCACCAAAACCGGCTCCGGTACCACCAACTTCCACCTTCCTTATCCCAACCCAAGCTCCCCTCTTCCATCATCAACTTCTTCAATTCATCATCATCTTCTTTCACGACACTGCAACACCCACCACCAGGTTCACCTTCCTATATGACGGCACTAGACATTTCCTTCCTCCTCAGATCGGCCTCACTGCTTCCTGATGCTCAGATCGCCAAAACTCTCCAATTTTCTAGAAACCATTGATGCTGAGATCGTTTCCATCTTGCTCAGATCGACGTTGTTGCTTGCTCAAATTGCTTCCTCTTTCTCTCACGCCTTTGCCTAAGCTTCTTCTTCTCCCCTCACTTGCCCAGATTGATTCACCAAGATCCCACCTTCACTTTTCGGCCACCTTGAGTTCAAGTCTTGTAGATCTTTTACTCCAACTCCAAGCTCAGCCTTTCCAAGGCCGGCTTCTTCATCTACACCCTTAATTCCTAGCTCTGCGCATCCTTTAACAGCTCGAAGACCATGTCACATCCATCAAGCAAGATGCTTGGCACGCAGAGAATAGTGCCTCTGACAAAGCAAACTTTCAACGACTCGAAGATAGCAACCAGAGGACGAGAACGTTTCTCAATACCTTCAATCTTCATTTAGTTTCAATCTGGGTTAATTGCTTGCTACTTTTTATTCTGTTTTTATTTGAATTTTTTATTCATACTTGGTCTGAGTTGATTAGCTTAAGATGTTAAATTTATAGTCTCAAAGATGAGCTGGAATATAGACTAACCTATACTTGGCCAAGTTGAGTTCAACTCATTTTTATATAGTTTAAGAAATCTTAATTCAAAACTTGAGGGTTTCAACTTTTTTTTTCCAATTTATTTTTTTCATGATTTTTTTAAAAAAATATCTAAATAATGAATTCCAATTTGATTTTTTTATAATTCATTTTGAATACACCAAAATATTAATTCATAATGTTTGTACAAAATATATAAATTTTTTTAACTAAGTAAGTCATACCTTATATTGTTTATATTTTATATCTATAATTTTTTTCTTTTTAAATTTTTTTAAAAATAATATGGGTGAAACGAGCCAATCCTAACCATTAAGGTTAATTTTGGGTTATATGGTTCGAGTCAAAAAATTTTTTTTATTTGGGCTAATATCTTTTTACCCAACGTGACTCTTATAATTGATTATTTGAACTAAGATATATAATTCAGCCCATATTTCCCTTGAAGTAGAAGATTGGCTTATATCTTTTCGAAAATCTAAAGTGTTAGAGCATGAAAAATTAGACTTGAGTTTTAATTAAATAAAAAAAGTTAGAGTGATGCCACATGGACATGCTAGACGAAGCAGAGTCAAGTCAGCTAAAGTGAACTGACGGTTAACATTTTTCTACTAATGGAGGTTAAGGGTAGATTTGCATATTAATCCATTAATTTTTATGCATAAAGATTCATGAATCTCCTAGTCCTAATTGCTAGATAATAATATAATTTGAACAGACTATGCAAGAATTTTCTTGGTGAAAGAGTACTGCCAAAAATCATAAAAGATAGACCAAAAAAGAAAAAAGAAAACAAAGTTAGAAGAATTGAATTTCCAGGGAGTTTGTTGCAAAAGGCTATCTTGTTCGAATAAGCTTTCCTTAAGATAATCATGGTCGCTGAAAAATTCACCTTCGTTGATTGACATTAGGTGATATCGAAAATTTCAGCCATCAATTCACGACCATTCAAAACTAAAGGAACTTTCAGGTGACATCACACCACCTATGGCTTGAACCGCTCAACTCATAAGCTCTATTGTTAGATTGTGTAAGTGTGAGTGGACATAAGATGATATGGAAAGTTTCACATTGAATAAAATTGAGCTTAATAACTAATATATAATAAAAAAAGGATTTATCAACTTGAGTTTTAAGATTTTGAGTTAAAATATAGCATCCTTGCGCCGCTCTTATCAGTCTCTCCTCCCCCTATTCTTGGGAAGTCACTTCCCATTTCTAATAAGTGGCATCAAAGTCAGGTTTCACTTGAGACTTGTAAACTAGTTATTGCTCACATATTTGAAGCCCAAAAAAATAGGACTGGCCCTACTTTAAATGCATATAAGACAATGTGGGAAGTTTCACATAAGATAAAATTGAATTTAATAACTAATATATAATAAAGAGAAAAAACTCATAAATTTGAGCCTTAAAATTTTAAGTTAAGATGTAATATCCTTTCGCTGTTCTTATTTGTCTCTTCTTGCCCCTGTACCCAGGCGAAAGATACAAATCCACAACTTTCTCATAAATCTTAGCCCTTGTTTTTTGGTTATACTTAGCCTCTTCCCAAGAGCTTTAAGATCGCCCATCCCTCTCTAACCCAAGAACACGGCTACCTGGTAACATAAAGTTTTTCTTGTTGTGGCCCTTAATAAAAGGTATCAATCTCACAG